GTCGGGCAATATTCGATCAACAGTCGGGCAATTTTGGTTTGTAATAAAAATAAATGGGAGAAATTCTGTCAATTTAGTCGGAAATTCAGTCAATTTTGTGGTAAATTTTGTGTTATTTGGAAAATTTGTGTGATGTTCCGAAAAATTTTGGTTTGTCCGGGAAAAATTTTTTCGGTACTAGTCGGGCACAATCCGGAAAAGTCGGGCAAATTTCTGTCCGCCCCTCTAATTTTTTGCTTCCGGTACGCCCATGAAGGGAGCCGACGTTAACGAAGGTAAGTTTGTTTTAAATAATGATTTTATAATTGCTTTAAAACCCGACGGCCTTTGGCCCTTTGCCACTTTGCGTATATGAAACAACTAAACAAGACAGAATATAATTTCAGTGTATTATTAATACTGATTCCCGTTTTTATTATATTGAATTTTTTAAATAAAAAAGAAAGCAAAGTTATTTGCAATTTTGTATGCGAGAATTTGAAATCATTTTATTGCAAACTCAAAGTTTATCGATAAAGCCATTTAATTAAAGGCAGTTTAGTTTTATAAAGAAATCTTTAATTTAGAACGTTTTGCGAAGCGTTTGTGATTGAATAACTTGAATTTTACCTTAAATTGAAGCTTATATTACGTATAATAACATACCTAACATAGTATGTTGGGAAATTGATAATTTTGTAATTAAAAGTGATATTTTTAGGCTATTTTTTATTTGTTAGAATATTCTTAAAAAATTAACGTGTTACCATGAAAACAACTTTAGAACTTCAGGTTCGGAATATACAATGGTTTTGTCAGCAAGGCGAGGGTTTCTGCATGCATGTATTTTCTAGTACTGAACACTTCCGAGCAGATCCGATTGACCTATTGTACACCCATCCCAGACAACATTAGCATATTCCATCTTAGAGCGAACAAGAGATTTATACAAAATTTCTAAGGTTAATCTAGGTAATTTAAATTTAAAGCCTTTCAATAGGTTAAGGGTCTTTGAAACATTTTGGTGAACTTTTTCAATATGAACTTTCCAAGACACATTACTGGAAAGTAGGACACCCAAATGCTCGTGGCAACTTACTTCATCAATTGGCTTTTCACTTAGTTTCAAAATAGGATGATCAGGTTTTTTTTTTTAGGGAGAAAGTCATACTCTTTGTTTTTGAAGCGTTCATTGTGACTAAGGTCGACTAACCATTTGTTAGACCACAGTGAAATAGTATTTAAGTCTTTATTCAACGAGTGAGCCGCAGAATGTGGTGAGAATACTTCCTCGAATAGCAAAGTATCATCGGCAAAAAGGAAGCAGTCACTATCAATATTATGTTGAATATCGTTAATATACAGTATATTAAAAACTGAAGCGGGCCCAGAACAGATCCTTGAGGCCCTCCTGCTTTAACTTCTTTCCAAGATGAGCTACTGCCTTCAATAACTACTTGATGCTGCCGACTTTTAAGATATGATTCAAACCAATTTAATAAAGTAACTTCTACACCAAGATTTTTCATTTTTGCTAATAGTCCAGCATGCCAAACCTTATCAAATGCTTTCGATATATCTAGAAATACAGCTCGTACCGCATTTCCTCTATCTAAACAAACATATATTTTGTTGACTATGCAAACCAATTGCATAACAGTAGAGTCACCAGGGCATTTTTTAAGAATTCGTCAGTGGGGGAGGGGGGCATCTACAAAAAGGGACCATACCATATCGAGTGTGGAGCAATGATAGATGGTTTGTTGGTAACAAAAAGTTTGGTGTGGTATCGCATTTAATAGTAGGGGGGGGGGGGGAGAGCAAGGCTGTAGGAAGCTCTTTTCGTTTGGGGGGGGGGCTGAAAGCGAGGGCCGAAGGCCCGAGGAAATTTTTAAATTTAGAGTCTCTGAAATGCCATTTCCTGGACTTTGGGGAAGATTTGACAGATTTCTGATTGTCAGAAAACAGCGTTTTTAGTATGTGGAAATTTAGAATTCAGTAGTACTAAATGGACGAAGGTGTATTTAATTAACGATATATTGGATAAGTTGCAAGAAAGTATGGGTAATATCTTCATTCTTTGCAGTTTGTCATGGATTAAATAATAAAGGTCTGCATGATTTTGAAAAATGAATGATTATTAGCAAATTATTGGGGGGCTGCAGCCCCCCAGCCCCCCCCCCTCCCCGCGGTTGCTACGGCCCTGGAGAGGGTCTGGGGCTTTCTCCCCCAGAAAATTTTTGTATTTTTCTACCCCTATGACTGCAATTCCCTGCATTTTCTGAAACAGTATTTTTGGATATACAGCATTACATTATGCTGTAGATGGACTGAACCTTCAGTTAAGTACTTGCATAGTATGTTTATGTAGATACCACAACTTGGCCGTCACTTAGGGAGCCAGCTTGATAAACTTAGAGTTCCCGACTCCCACGAAGCGCCACCATGGTTGGCACAGAGCGAAAATTTTTTGAAAATTTTGCGTCTCTAAATCATCGGAAATGGCATTTTCAAAGTCTTCTATACGTCTTTTGTTTGGCCTTTTCATTAATTCGTTTATTATGATTTGTGAGTCTATGATATCCGCGAGTCAGGATGGATTATTACGAGAAATGTTATCAAAATATCGATTACAGATATTTGATTATATGTATATATGATTTCAAATACTTCTAGTTTCGAAATCAAATTGTTTTTTTTTTGGTGGGGGCCAAAATTATCCCCCCCCCCCTTATAAAACACTTGGTTGAGGGCCTGTTGCCCCCTGCGGTCACTAACTTGTCCAACAACTCAAACTCTATAGGGTCTGGGAAATGCAATCCACTGCCTGGGAAATGTTTAAAATCTAATAAGGTATTTATTAAACATAAAAGACAGGACATAAGATTCACAAAGCAAATTTCAGTTACTAGAATATCAAACCTCCCTTCTAAATTCCATGTTTTGCTTATATTTTAGAGAAAAGGGACTTTGACTGGGGGGGCAAAATGGTTGAGTGGGGGGCCACCATGGGGGCTAGGGGGGCTTTGCCCCCCCGGCCCCCAGTTATATAGTTAAAAAATGCCCTGGAGTCACCAGAACGAAAACCAGATTGAAATCGGTAGAAAAAGCCAATGCTTTCAAGAAAGGTATACACTTTTATAAAAAAAATCTCGCAAATTTTACTTAATTACTTAAGCAAGAAAGAAGTGCTATGGGGCGGTAATTAGATTCAATTTGTTTATTATCTTTTTTAAAGAGTGGCAAAACGTTCGCTAATTTCCAAGATTGTGGAAACTGACCAAGAGAAAATGATGTATTTATCAAATTCGTGAAAGGCCTGTAAATGCCATGTTTACAAAGCTTAAAAGAATTAATTTTATTACTAATTCCATCCATCCCACAGGCTTTAGCAGTATCCAATTGACTAATTAAATTTGCAACTTCAACTTCAACTTCAGTAACAACAATACTTGATAAAGTAGAATTTAAGTTGGGAGCAAGTTCAGGTAGTATTGCACTCTCAGTTGGTAAATAATTCTGACCAGTGGCGGAAATTCACTTTTTCCGGTGGGGGTCAAAGTCTCCTAAATTTCCGACAAAACTTTCAAATTTCCGACATACCCCCCATTTGCACTCGAAAAGACTCTTTTTAGCCCTCTTTTAGGTCAAAATTTCCGAAAAATTTGTCAATTTTCCGTGAAGGTGGGGGGCGGCGCCCCGCCCCCCGCCCCACCAAGATTTCCGCCACTGAGTCTGACATACAGAAAAATCATTAAACAAGCCAGCTTTATCTTTAGAATCGAATACATATTCATTATCTTCATATAATGGTTGTATTGCTGAGCTAGCTTTAGAACCGTAAACCGATTTCGCTACGTTCCACCACTTTTTTGTCGATGTTTCAGGGTTAGACAGCAATTCATTAGTTTTTTGTTGGTTGTCTAATTTAGCTTTATGAATCAATGTGACAACAGGATTACTATTAATGAGGTACTTTTCCCACTTAAAGGAAGATTTAAACTTAGTATAGGCCTTTAATAATCTATACGTTTACGTATAGCTCGACGAATGGCTCCATTCATCCAGGGTTTATCTCCTTATTCTGTGACTAGGCCTTCTATTTTTTCGCTTGCGCATCCTCCGCCCCGCCCCCAAATCACCTAGTCCCAGTCTTTTCATGCGAAAAAGCGCTGAATATTAAAAAAAATAATAAAAATAAAAGGCCTAGGTCTAGGCTGGGTTAACTGCCCTGAAATCAACCAATCACAGTTGAGTAATATTTTTATGTATAATTAACAATTATACCATGAGCTCGAGCCGTATATGAGCTGATAGCCGACGAGGTGCTACGCACCTCGTCGGCTATCAGCCATATACGACGAGAGCGAATGGTATAATTGTTTTATAATATAGTCTAATAGCCATTAACTGAAGCAATAATTAATTATCGTTTGTTACAATGTCTTGACAATTTGTTCGGCAAAAAACCGCTTGGCCTTGAAAATTTGAAATACTTTTGTTTTACAACTTGAAGACGAATTGAAAGAAATGGTTTTAGAACCGGTATACCTCACAGAAAAGCTCAGATATATTATACAGATGTTTGGTAGTATAGTAACTGCTTGTTGACTGCAAATTCATTTGTCTTTCGTTGCAAACTTTTCTGAACAATTTATATTCTCAATGAACATGTTTTTTTCGCTGTTCTTTCGGCATTAATTCTTTAAAAAACTTGTATTTAAACTAATGTATCGATCAATTCGAAACTTCACCATCCCCCCCCCGGGCCGACCCCGGGAATTTGAACTTTTTGAAATTTGAATGATAAATTCTCCACTCCCTGTGCAAAAAATGTCTTCAAATGCCCACTGTAACAAGAAATTAAGCGTTCAAATGCCCCACCTTCATATGAAAATTATGAAACAGTAAATACAAAAAGTACAAAATATACGGAAATGTTTTTCGACAAGATAGCGAAATTCGCATAAAATGTTTGGATACCTTGTGGAAATTTAACAGTTTTACGCAATTATGTAGTACATACCTTCAAATGAAACACATAGATTTTCCATGCCCGTTTCTTTGAGCCAGTTTTTCACGAAATTGAGCTGTTTCCCTCGAAATCTGAGAAAACTGTATTTGCCGCCAATGCGAAGTATTTTCTGTGCATGCAGGAAGCACGCGAAAACGGGCAAAATTTTTAAGACTTCCGGTTCAAATTCCCCACCCCGTTATCAAATGCCCCACCACATGGAAGACCTAGAACGTCAAATTCCCTACTCCCTGGAGAAGACTTGAAGTCAAATTCCCAGGGTATGCCCGGGGGGGGGGGGGATGGCGAAGTTTCGATTTGATCGATACATAATTTCTATGTAATAAATGTATTTTGCTAACCTGTCAAATTTTTTTGAGAGTTTTTCCTTGTACTATCTATACTTGTATTATCTTTCTCAAAGCGAATATTTTCCTTTTTCTTCTTCGCAAACTCTCGTGTAGTTTTTGGACCGATATACGGTGAGTAATTCAACCAATCAGAATGCAGAACAGCTCATATACGGTGAATGACTATATTATAATATTATATAACTATGTAAACAATAATCATTTACTGTGTAGTGGCTCTTAGTTTTAAGGAAATTTCCTTAAACTGAGGAAATTTTGACCTTTTTAAGGAGACTTTTAAGGAAATAGAATTTTTAAGGAATTTTTAAGGAATTTTGAGTTGAAAAGCACACTCCAAACAATAATTAGTTATTACACTGTTTGTTACACTTATAAGTTATATCCATCGACCTAATGAAGTTTTTGGCAGTAGTTTTTCAACTGAAATCGCTGATCATCTTCATTTTGTTGTTCGTACTTAGTTCTTAATGAGGTTACATAGTAACCAAGGTTAATATCATAGGAGCCGCGCGCAGTCTGGGTACGACATGTGCCCTCAGGATATCGGATATAGAGAGTGCCAACAGTCTCTCAGGTCATTAGCTAATTCGTAGCCAACTGCAATGGTTATCTGCTCAGAGAAGAAGCAATTTTTTTTTCTCGTCTTTGTTCTTGTTGTGTGCGTACGTGCTTGTTGAATAACATGGACTCGGCGGGGGAAAACGTCAAGTCACCAGGAAACCGGTTCATCGTCGACGTCGGTGGATTGGACAGCAGCTTCCAAGTTGCCCGAGTTTCCTCTGCCTCTGGTTTTAAAACTACCGTGGCCGATGCCACAGCGATGGTAAGCGCGCCAGGTATACGCAAACACCAGGCGAAGGTATGTTAACTGCTCCTTTTTTTGTTAAGATTGCTGGGTCGACGTTGTTGACATAATCGAGTGCAGTTGCACAAAACAGCGCGCCCTGAAACAGCGCGGGCAAACAAACAAGCAAACAAACGCGGCCTGAAACAGCGCGGGATTTACTTGCGTGTACGGCCTTAATAATACGCCTCACGAAGCAATTCCCCGGCTGGTGCTGGTTTAATTATTTTTGCGCCTATCGTCTCGAAACTGCCGCATCCAATTCAAAGAATTGGAGCCAAATTCATGCAGATTTGTGCCATCACCACGCAATCGCAAAACTCGACGATTGCCTGCAAATCATGGAATTCAGGCGCATGTAGCAGTCCACGCGATTTTGTAGATTTCGCCATAGATGCGATCGAAACGGGTGCGGCGGCGCCCACCGCAGAATACAGTGCTCAGAATTCGCGCTGAAACGAGGCCTCAAGCTGTAGGCGACAGGCGAAAAGCGATTAGGAGAGACGATGTAGCTGATCACAATATTTTTTCCTGTTTAGTCGTTCAAAACAATTTTAATCGTTTTGACGTGTCTTTAATTACCGCATTAATGTAGACAATTTGACATTACAATTATGCAGTCATCCGGAGCGACAAAAAGTTGACTTTTGTTCTAAGTGGTTTACGTCAGAGGTTTCGGCCTGGGTTGCGCTCAAGGCAAAATGTCCCTCTGCGCTCAAACGCAAACGAGGTATCATTAGGCCGGGTATCATTGGGCCTACTGCAATACCACCATTAGAAAGTTACAGGTCAGCCGTTGTGTCGTGATTCCTAACTTATCCGTCCCCTTTGGGCACAGCGCAACTGACGGGGTTAATATCCGAGGCTATTTCACTAGTTATTAAAGCCGGACATGCTGCGTTAATGGGTAAATTGGATATTAGAAGCGCTTATCGCATAAGTCCAGTGCATCCGTCAGCCCGTCATTTATTAGGAATGTTTTGACAAAGTGGTTTCTATGTTGATCTAGCATTACCGTTTGGCTTGCGCGCGCTCAGCACCAGGATTTTTCAATAGTCCTTCACTAGTGCTTGGTGAATAATTAGCACGTTCTCAAGTTACTACATTACCTAGACGACCATTTCACATTAAAACCTCCTAACTTTTGGCCCTATGTGCTCCGCATCTCAAAGCGATTGACCAGGCAGCGACCGAAATTGGCATACACTTATCGCTTGACAAATGCGTGGGCCCATTTTTCTTGGCATTGAGTTAAACCGGTTTGGCTCCCTTTGCTCTTTTCTGAATGGCGGCATAGCTTAGCAACTGGGTCTGGTCCCTTTGATAATTTCTACATTGCGACATAGCTTAGCAACTGGGTTTAGTCACTTTGCTAATTCCTAAATGGCGAGATAGCTTAGCAATTGGGTTTGGTCCCTTTGCTAATTTCTAAATGGCGATAAAGCTTAGCAATTGGGTTTGGTCCCTTGGCTAATTTCTAAATGGCGGCATCACTTAGCAATTGGGTTTGGTCCCTTTGCTAATTTCTAAATGCGACACTGCTTAGCAACTGGGCTTAGTCACCTTGCTAATTTCCAAATGGCGAGATAGCTTAGCAACTGAGTTTAGTCACTTTGCTAATTTCTAAATGGCGAGATAGCTTAGCATGGGTTTGGTCCATTTGCTAATTTCTAAATGGCGGCATCACTTAGCAATTGGGTGGTCCCTTTGCTAATTTCTAAATGGCGATAAAGCTTAGCAATTGGGTTTGGTCCCTTTGCTAATTTCTAAATGGCGGCATCGCTTAGCAACCGGGTTTGCTCCCTTTCCTAATTTCTAAAGGGCGACACTGCTTAGCAACTGGGTTTAGTCACTTTGCTAATTTCTAAATGGCGAGATAGCTTAGCAACTGGGTTTAGTCACTTGCTAATTTCTAAACTGCGGCATCGCTTATATTAGCAACCCGGTTTGCTCCCTTTGCTCTTTTCTGAATGGCGGCATAGCTTAGCAACTGGGTCTGGTCCCTTTGATAATTGCTACATTGCGACATAGCTTAGCAACTGGATTTAGTCCCTTTGCTAATTTCGAAATGGCGATATAGCTTAGCAACTGGGTTTGGTCCCTTTGCTAATGTCTAATGGCGACATAGCTTAGCAACTGGGTTTGGTCCTTTTTGCTAATTTCTGAATGGCGACATAGCTTAGCGGGTTTGGTTCCCTTGCTAATTTCTAAAGGGCGACATAGTTTAGCAACTGGGTCTGGTCCCTTTGCTAATTTCTAAAGGGCGACATTGCTTAGCAACTGGGTTTAGTCCCTTTGCTAATTTCTAAATGGCGATATAGCTTAGCAACCGGGCTTGATCCCTTTGCTAATTTCTAAATTGCGACATAGCTTAGCAACTGGGTTTAGTCACTTTGCTAATTTCAAAATGGCGGCATAGCTTAGCAATTGGGTTTGGTCCCTTTGCTAATTTCTAAATGCAGCATAGCTTAGCAATTGGGTTTGGTCCCTTTGCTAATTTCTAATTGACGACGCTGCTTAGCAACTGGGTTTAATCACTTTGCTAATTTCTAAATGGCGGCATAGCTTAGCAATTGGTCTGGTCCCTTTGCTAATTTCCAAAATGCGGCGCTGCTTAGCAAATAATATAATTTAATCACTTTGCTAATTTCTTAATGGTGGCATAGCTTAGCAACCAGGTTTGCTCCCTTTGCTAATTTCCGAATGGCGGCATAGCTTAGCAACTGGGTTTGGTCCCTTTGCTAATGTCTACATTGCGACATTGCTTAGAAACTGGGTCGGGTCCCTTTGCTAATTTCTGAATGGCGACATAGCTTAGTAACTGGGTTTGGTCCTTTTGCTAATTTCTGAATGGCGACATAGCTTAGCGGGTTTGGTCCCCTTGCTAATTTCTAAAGGGCGACATAGTTTAGCAAATGGGTCTGGTCCCTTTGCTAATTTCTAAAGGGCGACATTGCTTAGCAACTGGGTTTAGTCCCTTTGCTAATTTCTAATTGGCGATGTAGCTTAGCAACTGGGCTTGGTCCCTTTGCTAATTTCTAAATTGCGACATAGCTTAGCAACTGGGTTTAGTCACTTTGCTACTTTCTAGATGGCGGCATAGCTTAGCAATTGGGTTTGGTCCCTTTGCTAATTTCTAATTGACGACGCTGCTTATTGCTAATTTCTGAATGGCGACATTGCTTAGCAACTGGGTTTGGTCCCTTTGCTAATTTTTAAAGAGCGACACAGCTTAGCGACGGGGTCTGATCCCTTTACTAATTTTTAAAGGACGACATAGCTTAGCAACCGGGTTTGCTCCCTTTGCTAATTTCCGAATGGCGGCATAGCTTAGCAACTGGGTTTGGTCCCTTTGCTAATTTCTAAATGGCGGCATAGCTTAGCAATTGGTCTGGTCCCTTTGCTAATTTCTAAATGGCGGCATAGCTTAGCAACTGGGTTTGGTCCCTTTGTTAATCTCTGAATGGCGAGATTGCTTAGCAACTGGGTTTGGTCCCTTTGCTAATTTCTAAATGGCGGCATCACTCAGCAATTAGGTTTGGTCCCTTTGCTAATTTCTAAATGGCGACATTGCTTAGCAACTGGGTTTGGTCCTTTTGCTAATTTCTGAATGGCGACATAGCTTAGCAACTGGGTTTGGTCCCCTTGCTAATTTCTAAATGGCGACATAGTTTAGCAACTGATTTTGGTCCATTTGCTAATTTCTAAAGGGCGACATTGCTTGGCAACTGGGTTTAGTCCCTTTGCTAATTTCTAAATGGCGATATAGCTTACTGCAACTGGTTCTGGCCCCTTTGCTAATTTCGGAATGGCGACATTGCTGAGCAACTGGGTCTGGTCCCTTTGCTAATTTCTAAATGGCGACATTGCTTAGCAACTGGGTCTGATCTCTTTGCTAATTTCTAAATGATGACATTGCTTAGCAACTGGGTTTGGTCCCTTTGCTAATCTCTGAATGGCGACATTGCTTAGCAACTAGGTCTGGTCCCTTTGCTAATTTTTAAAGAAGACACAGCTTAGCAACTGGGTCTGCTCCCTTTGCTAATTTCTAAATGGCGACATTGCTTAGCAACTGGGTCTGATCTCTTTGCTAATTTTTAAAGAGCGACACAGCTTAGCGACGGGGTCTGGTCCCTTTACTATTTTTTAAAGGACGACATAGCTTAGCAACTGGGTCTGGTCACTTTGCTAATTTTTAAATGGCGACATAGCTTAGCAAATGGGTTTGGTCCCTTTGCTAATCTCTGAATGGCGAGATTGCTTAGCAACTGGGTCTGGTCCCTTTGCTAATTTCTAAATGGCGACGTTGCTTAGCAACTGGGTCTGATCTCTTTGCTAATTTCTGAATGATGACATTGCTTAGCAACTGGGTTTGGTCCCTTTGCTAATTTCTGAATGGCGACATTGCTTAGCAACTGGGTTTGGTCCCTTTGCTACTTTTTAAAGAGCGACACAGCTTAGCGACGGGGTCTGGTCCCTTTACTATTTTTTAAAGGACGACATAACTTAGCAACTGGGTCTGGTCACTTTGCTAATTTTTAAATGGCGACATAGATTAGCAAATGGGTTTGGTCCCTTTGCTAATCTCTGAATGGCGAGATTGCTTAGCAACTGGGTCTGGTCGCTTTGCTAATGTTAAAGAAGGACACAGCTTAGTAACTGGGTCTGGTCCCTTTGCTAATTTCTATTGGGCGACATAGCATAGCAGATGGGTCTTGTCCCTTTGCTAATTTCTGAATGGCGACATTGCTTAGCAACTGGTCTGGTCCTTTTGCTAATGTCTGAATGGCGACATTGCCTAGCAACTCGGTATGGTCCCTTTGCTAATTTTTAAAGAGCGACACAGCTTAGCAACTGGGTGTGGTCCCTTTGCTCATTTCTAAAGGACGACATAGCTTAGCATCTGGGTGTGGTCCCTTTGCTAATTTCTAAAGGGCGACATAGCTTAGCAAATGAGTTTGCTCCCTTTGCTAATGTCTAAATTTGCTAATTTCTAAATGGCGACATAGCTTAGCAAATGTGTTTTACCTCTTTTGCTATTTCTAAATGGCGACAGAGCTTAGCAACCGGGTGTGGTCCCTTTGCTAACTTTAAAATGGCGACATAGCGTAGCAACTGGGTGTGGTCCCTTTGCTAATTTTAAAAAGGCGATATAGCTTAGCAATTGGGTCTGGTCCCTTTGCTAAGTTCTGAATGACGACATAGCTTAGCAACCGGCCGTGGTACCTTGGCTAATTTCTAAATGGGGACATAGCTTAGCAACTGGGTCTGGTCCCTTTGCTAATTTCTCAATGGCGACATAGCTTAGCAATTGCATCTGGTTCTTTGGGCGAATTTTAAGATGGCGGCATAGCTTAGCAACTGGGTGGGGTCCCTTTGCTAATTTCCAAAGGGCGACATAGCTTATCAACTGGATTTCATCCCTTTGCTAATAATGTCTAAATGGCGACATCGCTTAGCAACAGGGTTTGGTCCCTCTGCTACATT